TGTCTGGATTAGAGATCTTTTTCTTTCCCTCTCTCTTTCTCTGAATCTTGTCACATATTTAAAGTCAGGAAATTAAATATATTTTTTTAAGAACCTAAAATCATATATAAACATAAAGCTCTCTTGCAGACTACTTGGAATTATCACCGCTTTCAATTAATTCCTCATTACCACTATTTTTTGAATCTGCCTTTGCATGCAAGATTTAGTGAGCAGACAAGTATATTTATATTCAGTAATACCGTTGTCAGAAGCAGAAATAATAAACAGATTATCATATGTTTAACAAACATGCTACAAGAGAAAATCTCCCAAACAACTCATCTGCATATGAAACTGTTTCTGAGTTTAAGGGAATCAGAATCATAGGATCTTTTAAATTGGAAGGGATCCTTAAAAAGCTATCTGGTCCCACTTCCCTGCAATGAACAGGGAGGAACACCTAGAGCTAGATCAGGTCGCTCAGAGCCCCATGCAGCCTGACCTTGAATTTCACATGGGAAGGGGCATCCACTACCCCTAAACTTTCTGCTGCTGATTTCCAATCTGTGGTAGATGCATCTCTTCTTTAAATAGACTTGCAACATTCTTCAGAAATCTCCTGAAATCTCTGGGCAGATTCTTATTCACTTTGGTGAACTTTACATTTAGTAAAGCGATTTGAACTTCCAATTCTTCATTTGACAAAAAAGTTTATAATATAGTTTTATAAAGACCACCAGCTGACCACATGGTTTTATATATTCTATTATTTGATGGTCAGTATGCAAACTGTGGACTTTTAAATTTCCAGGTGCCAAAAGTAAATCTGAAAAGGTTAAAAAATATTCAAGCCAATAGAAAGCTTCAAATTAATATAAATTACATGCCACAGAATAGTATGTGAATAAGCAGATGCTGCAGAGGATAGTTCCACTGGACTGCTTATTAAAGAATAAATAATGGCATCTAAAAGCAATGTAGCTCAATGACACAGGTCATTGACTTGGACTTCTCTGCTGGGAATGATTAAAGTGCCATTTAGCTCTACTGGTTGACTTGCTAGGGTGCTGAAAAACATCACATCAATACAAATCTGCTTAGCTGCTCACAGAAAGAATGACGTCATGGAAACTAAGTCCTCTCTAAATTTTTCATAAATGACTTGGATAAAGGACTTGAAGGTATACTAAGTTTGTGGATGACACTAAATTGGAGAAGTTGTTGATTCCCTTGAAGGCAGAGAGGCCTTGCAGAGAGATCTTGACAAATTGGAGGGCTGGGAAGTCACCAACTGCAAAAAATTTAATCACATCAAAGTGTTAGATTCTGTACTTAGGAAAGAGAACTCTGAATATAAGTACAGAGTGAGGGACAAGAGGCTGGGAGCAGCTGCATGGAAAAGGGTCTGGAGGTTCTGTTTGAGGGCAAGTTGAAACTGAGTATGCAGAGTGCCCTGAAAACCAAAATCGTCCACCATATTCTAGGGTGCACCAAGCCCAGTATACTGCCAGCTGAGTGACAGAAGGAATTGTCCACTCTGCTTTGCACTGTGCATCTTCACATCAAGCACTGCAAGCCACAGTATAAAAAGGACATAAAGCTATTGGAAAACACTCAAAGGAAGACTATGAATATGTTGAAGGATCAGGAGGGAAAGATGTGTGAGAAGCAGCTGAGTGATCTGTTGCATTGCCTCTAAATTACTGACTCAAACTTGAGGAGTGTCAGAAATATTTTGGATTTGGAAAAAAATGAATGTCACAAAGGAAGAAAAAAAATAAGTTAGCTAATAAGCCCATTTCCAGATAATGTTGCATTCAGATACTTTCTCTTGCCAGAGGATCAAGGCACTGGACACTTGTACGTGGCTGAGAAAGCAAAACTGCTGTTACTAAAAGTAGCAATTTTCAAAAAGCCAGCTAAAAAAATGGAATATGAGAGATAACATAGAACATGCTGGCAATGTCTACAGATATTTCAAGTGCGGCAGGAAACATTGTTAGGACTTGTTTTGCCAGTGAATGCGTGATCAGTGTATGCTATATTTAATTGAAATTCGTGTCTGTCTCTGCAGGAAAAAATACACTGTAATTATCACTAATTCTGAAAGGGTCGTGTATCTTCAGGCAAGGGCAAAATCAGAGGAATCACTTAGCTGCTTTATGATATCATTTCCTGTAACAAGTTTCAATGGGACTGGGAATTAAATTAAAGCCAAGATAGATGCACAGGCAGGTCATATATTAAGAAATACACTACTCTATTTGCATGTTACTAGAGGAAATTTCCATAAAGATTTCCTGTTTAAGAAATTCAATTATTTTTTATCAATTATTTTTATCAATTACTCAACATTATGTTTCTGTTATTCCAAGAGAGTGGAGAGTGAGGATGGGAAAGAGGAAAGAATTCTATTCTTACTTGAAGGTATGATTTACTTAAAGTATACTATTTGCTTCTTGTTTGGTTTTTTGTTTTTTTTTTGTTACAGAACCATATATTTTCACAGAAGCATGGGATGAAATACAGGGGATCTTAAAAGCCTCATACATGTATACCAACAAAGCTCAAAAGTTCTTAAGAAATTTGTCACAAATTATATTACTTATGAAGCAGCTCTTGAGCTACATAAAATTTGCTGAACATCGATTTTTACAGTAGAAATCCAAGGTTATCTTATCCGTTTTCTGTGAGATGAAATGGTGTTGCTTCGAAGATAAATGGGGAAAAAAAAGATATGCATATGTTAGAGTTAAAGAACAACAAATTATTTCTTTTGATATTACAGCAAAATATTTTTTTCCAAGTAATATGTATTACTTTTGCAATTACAGCAATAATGCTGAGCAATAATAACACAGTTTTTAAGCAAGCACTCAAGCTATGGTAATTGTTGAATATAAGGAGACAAGCAATAAGCATTAGGTAAAATTAGAATATTGGGTATCTATATGGCATGCTATGGGGTAGGAATTGAAGTTTCTTGTACACATGGATCTCTGCTGTCATTGCAACTCAATTAAGCTGTGAGAATGCAAAATTCTTCTGCACTTGAGTAACATCAGATTAGAGAGAAACTTCAAAAGCATGAGATATTATTTTAGATATTTTGAAGAAGGATCAGACAGGAAAGAAGTGTGTGTACAGAGTCCTGTCTACATACAGGGCTATATAATACTAAAAGATTAACAGATAAGCAGAGATATTCCACTGAATCATTCTAGTGTAGAATTTTATTCCGAAAATGAAAAAGCAGCAATCTTGCTGCCTTCTTGGTATAGAAGATATTTCATAAGGAAGCTCTGAAACCCTCTAAAAATGTTTATAATCTAGATTTCTTTAAGTGATCTGGATAGTTGCGTTGTAAGGGGTGAAAAAAAATAGTTCTTCTTGCTAAGTTTTATTAAAGAAGTATTTTTATTGTGGAATATTACTTTCATCTTGCAAAATCTCTTTATTAGTGTGACAACTTTTGTAGAAATGGTAATAACAGTGTACAAAATGTAATTGCCTTCCAGTCTTGGAACCTGTCAGAATACAGGAGTTGTGTTTACCTTCCTCTAGAGTGTGAGCATATAGGATCTTTACACTTCAGTGAATTTTGTCCTTCAATACAAAATAATTCAAATTTGAACAAAGTGTGAGAAATGTAATGGTTTTATTTAATTGGTTCTGATAAAATGAAAGAATTTTCATTTTATCATATCATAGTAAGTTATGAAAAACTATGAAAAAGAAGAGTGTTTCATCCTTCATGTTTTCAAACAGACTTGTGTTTTTGGTTTCTCTGCTACTTTTAATGCTGGTTCTTTCTTCATGGAGTTGTTGTGATTAAGTGCAGGATCTGACACTTCTTGTTACTGAACCTCTTACAACTGGCTTCAGCTCATGAGTCCTGCCTACCCAGATCCCTTTGTAGAGCTTTCCTACCATTAGGCAGATCAGTACTCTATCCCAATTTAGTCATATGCAAAAATACTGAGGATACACTCCATCCTTTTGTCCAGATCATCAATACAGATATTAAACAGAACTGGCCTTAATACTGACCTCTGAGGAACATCTTTAGCAACCAGTTACCATCTGGATTTTACTCCATTTACCATGACTTTTTGGGCCTGGCTGTCCAGCCAGTTTTTACTCAGCAAAGAGTACACCTCTCTAAGCCATGAGCTGCCAGGTTCTCTGGGAGAATGATATGGGAGACAGCATCAAAGGCTTTACTAAAGTCTAAGTAAATTACATCCACAGCCTTTACCTCATCCATGAGGCAGGTCACTTTGCCATAGAAGATCAGACTGGTCAAACAGGACCGGCCTTTTATGAATCCATACGGATTAGGCCTGATCTTCTGGTTGTCCTGAAAATACTCTGTGATCACTCTCTAGCAGGTCTGCTGCATGACCTGCTACCATGATCAGACTGACAGGCCTGTGGTTCCTTGGATTCTCCTTCCTACTGTTCTTGTAGGTGGGCATCACACAGGTGAGTCTCCAGTCATGTGGAATCTCCCCAATGGACCAAGATCAATGATGGAAAGTGACTTGGAAAGCTCTTCTGCCAGCTCCATTGGTATCCTTGGGTGGATCTCATCCAGCCCCATAGACTTGCATTAGTCTAGGTGGAGTAGAAGGTCACTAAATGTTTTCTCCTGAATTATGGGGGGTTTATTCTGCTTCCCATTCCTGTCTTCCAGCTCAGGGGACTGAGTACCCTTAGAATAACTATTTTTATTTTTTACTATTAAAGACATAAGCAAAATAGGCAGTGAATACCTCAGTCTTTTCCTCATATTTACTGGTAATGTTTCTTGCCACATTCACTCAAGGATGAAGATTCTCCTTGACCCTTCTGCCTTCCTGCCAGGATAGTATAGCTCTCCTTCCTCTACTATGAATTTTTTCTAGTTTTTTGTTTTCAAAATTAAGCATAGGAATGAACTTAACTATTGACCTAGAAGCAGAAGTACTTGAGAAATAGGGCTATGGGAATGAAATGCTGTATTTACTTGTCTTTACAGAGAATTTGGGGTCCTCTATGACATGACTATCATCCTCACATTTCTTGTGTTCAGAAGCGTAAGGCTGGAATTCGTCTGCCTGTAAGTAAATACTGGGTATTAGTCTTAGAGACAACTCTTGTTCTGGTCTCGTGTTCCCTAGGTGGAGATGTCCTTCTCAAGGAAAATCAATGTATTTCAACCAGATGGGAGATGTAGGCCAACAGAAATTACCTTGTCTATATATGTGCACATGGGAAATGAATATTTCCTATGTCAAAATGAGTGGGTGGGAAGAACAGGATACAGTTCTGCTGAGGTAACAACATTCCTTCAGGCGAAGGTGAGAACTGAGGATACGATTGATGTGGTTTCTATCAGATAGATCAAGAAATGCTGACTTTTCTCTACTTGAGGTAACCTCTTCCTGTTCAGACTGATTCAGAAGTACAGAGTATTGTGAGCAGTAAATTCAATTCATAAATCTTTAGGGGTTACAGAATTCACTGTTGTCGGGACTGGCAAGCATGTGGGACTGTTGCAGTTTGTAAAGCAAAATGAATTACTAGTACATTACCTCCATTTGTAGTGGAAAGGCAATATTTTACCTCCTAGCTAATTGATAACCACTCAGATGACAGACAAATCAGTCCACAACAAATGGGCATGGCACTTCATTGCTCTTAGACTTATTCAAAGAGCTCGATTATTCTGCAGTAAGACCAAGGTTGAATGTTAATGATGGCTATATAATAAGGAGATGCTTTTATTAAGTCTGTCACACACTGTTCTTGTAGCAAAGTCTGTGTAAATAAAATAAGTTATTTGGTGCAAGCTTTCCTTGGGTGAAGTACTTCAGAAGGTGCTCATGCCTGTGTGCTAGCTATCAATGCATTTGTTCATCTAATTCAGGGCTAGTTTATTTTGAAAGTGGGATGAGATAGAACAAGCATTAAAAATTATAACATTTCAGCTGACAGGAACATAAATCCAGTTTTGTTCATATGGTATGCTCATGATGCAAAATTTGTAGATAGAAGATCTATGAGGATTTGTAAAAAGTTTGTAGTTGAAGTATTATCAAGAATGACTGGGTTCTTCTGGTGCAACTCTGCATGACTTTTTACCCAGAGACTCACTTGTTTTTTAGCTTCCTAACTGTCAGACTTTCTTGAAGCTCTGATTTACCAGATTCCTCAGCTCCATCCTTTTTCATTGCATACTCTCATTTGTTTTCTTAGATAGTAATAAAACCAGATTTTAATTAGTATTAAAATATAATCTTTTTCCTCAGCCAACCATACCACTGAAAACACATTTAATTTAATAACATAGCGAAACATAGCTGCCCAGTGAGAACCGACAAAAAATTACAGTATGGGAAATGATACATTTTAGTTCTGACCTCAAATTGAAATAGCCTTAAAAATAAATACATAAGAAGAGAGGAATGACAGAAAACACTTTTCTGAGAATAGCTTTAACATATTATTCTCTTCTTAATTTTATTCCATGTTTCTTATCTGGCTTACTCCGGATTGTGAATTTGCTTAATTTTAGATATGTGGTCTTGGCATAAAATGTAAGCTGAAGACTTTGTAGGGCCTTTTGGACTATAGTTTAGGGCTGTTCATAGTCTACTTAGAAAGCTCCAGAATATTTTTAGGAGCCATAAATATTTTATGGATAAAAATGCACAAAGTAACACAAGTTAATTTAAATATGCTCAACTAAAAAACACCTACTACTTAAACATTCATAAAATTAGCCTTAAATTTGAATATAAATTCTAATTTGGCATTAACTCTGTCTCTGTATCATCATCCAGTATTTGATTCCTTCCTTATGTGTACTTTCTCAGAAGCAAGTGGAACTTCTGCTCTCTAAGCTGCAGAACCATTAGTTTCCAATTTGACAGCCTCTTGTGTTTATTGCAAGCATATTTAATTGAGGAGTGAATAATTAATTCCAGTCAGGAGATCATGGGTTGATCTCTGATCTGTAATTTCATATTAGTAAAACGTAACATTGACATAGGAAAAGTCATGCCTTCAGGCATTTTTCCACAATCATATAAAATACAACCCTCCATTCTAAAAGGCAATCATGGTAAAGAAACACAGACATTAACCAGAGCATGCAAATAGTTCAAGAAAATGCTTAGAGAATGGAAAAGTTTTGAACAGATTCTTCCGCAACTCAGTTTATGTCAAAGTCTGTAAGTAAACACAGGATATATCAATTCAAACATGTCAATTTGGCAAAGCGTAGAGCAATAGTTTTAAAACAAATTTAGCTGATGCGGCAAGGAATCAATCACTGAACAAAGAAAGATGTCACAATAGGAAGGAAATTAAACAAATACATAGATCTGACTTCCAACTAGGTCAAATAAATGCTTAAGTACAGGAGGGAGAGTTCTATTAAACTTTTTAAAAAATATACATATATTAGAAAATGCTGAATTAATCGCACTTGAAACTATGAAGATCTCTGGATGCAAAGATCATAAAACCTTTTTTTTTTCCACAGGGAAATAAATAGACCCTCTGATGCATATGCAAAGACTTCTTTGAGACACAGGCTGTCCTCATAGTCAAACTAAAAGCAGAATGCAGAAAACTGAATGCATAAAGTCTACCTCTGCTGAATGGCAGATGACATTATCTCCATCTCAGTACTTCATCACTTTTGGCTGATGACCACTGACTGTCAACATATGACACAGATGTGCCCTCTGTGGTACCCTGCTGAGCAGGGCTGGATTTGGGATAAGCAGGTCAGCCAAGGCAGTGAGATCCATACATTGCCATTTGTAGAGCTCAGGTAGGATTATGCGCAGCAGGTTTGGGCCAGCTTCTCAGTTTCATTTTGTTACTTGTGCTGAGTACCATGCAGAGTGGGGATTAGCTACTGCTGGTGTAAAAACTAGCTTGGATATGTCTTCATTACATGGCAGTCACAGTGACTGGAATTCATCCTTGACCAGACATTGACACCTGAATCTGAGCTAATCACTAGGTGTTCCCTAGGTTATTACTCTCCATTACTGTCAGTGGAGAAAAATGGGCACTGTTATGGCACAATTTATCTTATGCTAAAGAAGGCATTGGAGATAGGTGAGATGAATCACATGCTGTGAATGTCTTTCAGTCTGTCAATTAAGGAAAACCTAGGTGCAAACATCGACCCTGAGGACTTTTCCTGGGGGATATGAGACACATCTTCCCTCTCAGTGTGCAGATTGAATATGCTTAAGATGGAAGGATATATCCTGAATTCCCTAAGCCTCAGGAACAGCAAAGAACCCTGTTGTGTTTGTATTAAGGAAGTTAGCTTTCCTCAGTGTGCAGAACAGTAGTCTATCTGTTTGAACAAATACCCTACAATACATCAATGCATTGATACTGACAGGAGATGTCACTGGAAGCTGAGAAGGCATTGCTAAAGATTAAACTTTATATGAGGTACAAAATATTTCAAATCACCCTGTCTCTCCTAGGTTCCTCCATTCTCATTAACCATTACATAGATGCAGGACAGTTTCACATAGTCAAGTATAGACTGTGGAGAAAGAAAAGAGTGCTTTTGGCAATGTAAAGAGGACATTTGTGTGTAATTTTCTGTTACAGAACTTTTATATACATTCTTCTGAATAATCTGGTACTTTCAGCTACAGGGTACAGATCCCAGACAGACTCAGGACAAGAAGTTCTTTTAAATCAGTTCATTAATTCTTGCATGATAGGATATGTTGAGTTCTCTGAGGAAAAGTTTGCTAAAAAGTACCTCTGTTGGTCCTTTACATCCCACCCTAACTACTAAGTCTGAGCAATGCTAAAGTCACAGACATATCACAGAGTCTGTGACTTTCATCTGCTTTTCTATCTCTGTGTTGACTGAATCTCATAAAAAGTATTACTTTCTTCTTACTTCTTCTGGCTACTGAGGCATTGTCCTAAGATATGAATTGCTCTCATATATATATAAACAATCTCATGAAAACAGTGCTCTAATTTCAACCAGTCAATTCATGTAATCTAGGTAAGAATTAGTCCCATTTGCAATGGAAACTGAGGCATAATATTGTGTGATTAATTGGAAAATGAGTGAACAAACTTTTTCATTTTCATGAAAAAGAGATATTAATGAAGAACTGAAGCCAGTACAGTAGCAAATGAAAAAAAAAAAAGAAAAATCCTTATTTGTATGACATGGGCTTCTTTTTTAGAAAAACTTACAAATGTACAAAAGTACTCCGTACTTTCAGAGCTTAGTTATTTAGAGCAGAAGGAAGTCAATTTCAGTGGAAATATTTTTATGTAAAAATGCAAAGTAGAAAGTTATGTTCCAAATCTCAGGAAAGGATAAATGTGCTTTACAGTTTACAGTCCTAGTGAAGACTAAAAACACTCTAATTCTAGGTTTGCCTGTTCAGAAAGCTGTTGTAATTAGAGTTATGACTGATGACTTCAAGTAGCTTCTGCAGTTGATGCGTTTTGGAGATGGGGTGACCCACTTTTTCTTTCCAGGCAAAAATAGGTGGGCAGATGGATAAGAAAGTAAGGATTTTAATGGAGTGGGGTTTGTGAATAGGGGAGCTCTTAGTGTTTAATGCCCTGCTTAGGGCAAAGACAGTAAAACACGAGAATTGCATCAGAAGGGTAATGCTGACATTACTTTAAAGAACCTTTCTCCTATTCCCCACCAGTTATTGCTTTTCCAGCATTCAGTTATTCAGGTATTTGCTGGATTGCAGACTTTCAAAATGCTGCTGTTTTCCCTCTCCATTCCTTATCTTTCTCCATATTGAGTGTCTTCACACTGCCAGCTGCTGCTCCATGGCATGTTTTATCCCTGAATGTAATCACTAAAAGGGTTTCCATGTGTTTGAAATTAATCTGTCTTACATGGAGAATTATTTACCAAACAGCTGAAAACACTGCTTGCATTCAGCAGGCTGGTTTCTGTTCCTTCCACGCTTCTCCAGCCTCCTCACTCCATGCATTTTGGTGCAGTTGAAAGAGAATGGAGCAAACAGGCCTTTTCTTTACAAGGTTATTGTTGAGCTGACTGCTTCAAGCAGGGCAAGCATGTGGAAG